GCGAATCATGTAAAAAAAAATTATAAATTAAAAACACATTTCATTTATCTATTATAACATTTATGTAATTTGGTTTGCTTGGCTGTTTCCTTATAAAAGTCCAAAAATTTGTCAAGTTTTTCGTCAGGTGTTTTTTTTATTATATGATGTCATTACGTTGTTGTCTTGCCGCCAGCTAATCGCTGCATTGTTGATCGTGGTTTCGAGTATCGATACATAGCCCCTTTTAAACCAACCCATGAACGCGCAATTATCTCAGATAACTCAATCCAGCCATACTAATCATCAACAACAGGTGTGTTTGAAGAACCGAATTAGCCAGATCCTGATTAGCGCGATGATATCATCTTGGATGTGACATTTCATCTCGGATGTAATAAGCAACGTATGAAGAACGGGCCCCAGTTCTGTGATCAGTAGTAAATCTCCATCCGAAGGCCAGAGGGCGCTCTCACTCTCAAACTCCAAATATGCCCCGAAGAAGGCAGGAAGGAATTTCCAAGAAATCCCTATAGCGGTTGCTGAATAAACAGAAGATTTAACTGCTTTCATTGATTCAACGTGACTAATAAAGACACGACTATGGCAATATATGGTTTATCTGAGTTCTTATTATTATAATTTTCATCATAATAAAGTGTATCTATAATGAAATGCTAATCGACATAGCCATTATCACTGCTTAGAATACAATGAAATATTGTGTGCCTTAATTATTCTGTTTAAGAAGCCACATTATCTCACAGAAGGATTTATTTCAAACACTCGACTGACCTTATGAATAAGAAGCCACATCATCTCACAAAAGGATTTATTTCAAACACTCGACTGACGTTATGAAGTGAGTTTGGAGTAAAAACATGTTATTAAATGTGGTATTTTCACGTGCTTTCAGATGGAGCAGCATTTACTACACATAGCCGTAGTTCACTGAGAAGATACGCAAATGGCTGTCATTATCGCGAACGTCGTATTTCGTCGATTTCATAATCCTACGATTATATCGTCTGCGATTATGAACACGATTTTGCATAACTTGTCAGAGAACTACGGCTCTGTGTAGTAAATGCTGCTCCACCTGAAAGCAGATGATGGAGATTTACTACTAATCACAGAACCGGCTTTACTGACAAGATGTGCATGACAATTAATCGCGTTCAATTAATCGTGCAGCCCTACTGTCCTGAGTAAGATATATTACATAAAAGATGTTTACATATAGTCCACAAGACAAAAAAACAGCTGAAATTATTAAAAATAACCCCCTTCAGAAGTTTGTGAACCCTTGGTTCTTAATATTGTGTGTGTCACCTGGATGATCGACGATTGTTTGTTTGTTTTGTGATGGTTGTTCATGAGTCCCTTGTTTGTTCTGAACAGTTAAACTGAGCAACTGTTCTTCAGAAAAATCCCCCAGCTCCTGCAGATTCTTCAGTTTTCCAGCATCTTCTGCATATTTGAACCCTTTCCACCAGTGACTGTATGATTTTGAGATCCATCTTTTCAATCAAGGACCGGAACTCTCTGTTTTATAATGTCATTTTTCTAGCTAAAAACCCAAATGCACCTTTAACCTGTGTTCTTACAGATTAATAATTTGTTTAATCCTGTTTTGATGTGACAGGACGAGCAGAAAGAGCTAGACGAGATCATAGCCAAGAGACAGAAGAGAGGCAAGAATGAAGAAGAGGCTCCAGCGGAGGAGAAGACCGTCCTGCACCGTATGACACACAACCTCAACAACAACATACATGCAGCTAAATGTGTCTTCGGTCTGCTGTTAAACCGCTTTCTCTCCCTCCCTGCAGTTAAAGATGCATACGATTATCAGGGCCGCTCGTACCTGCACGTTCCTCAGGACGTGGGCATCAACCTGCGCTCAGCAGACGTCCCGGAGAAATGCTACCTGCCCAAAAAACAGCTGCACGTTTGGACCGGACACACCAAGGTTGGGCCCTGTGGAATCCAGATTTTTTTTTGTTCTTCTGGATTCTGTTTTAATGGTTAAATTAAATATTAGTAATCAAAATGCAATTAAATGAAACTATGAAACATACACAATTGAACCACAATTTATTAACAAAAAAAATTTTTTTAGCGCCCTATGAAGTTATATTTTTCCGTTAAATTAATTCCATTTTAATTAATGAAACATACAGAACTAAAATCGATTTAGAAACATCCTTTTTATTTTTCAGAAAATTTGTTTGCCGTTTATATTTTTCTGAATTCTGTTTAATGGTTAAATACAATTTTATTAATCAAAATTTAATAAACCGAAATCATGAAACGTACACAAACGACAATTTATTAACAAAAATTACACACACACACACACACACTCACACTCACACTCACACTCACACACACTCACACACACGCACTCACTCACTCACACTCACTCACACTCACACACACTCACTCACTCTCACACTCACACACACACACTCACACACTCACACTCACTCACTCACACACACACAC